TGAGCACTGAGCTAGATTAGAGGCAGTTACTTACAAGAAGACCTGTTTTTACTGTAATGTGAATATTTGCAAGTATGCTCACAAATTGTTCAAAAACATAGTAATTTCTTTTTTTTTTGAATTTTTATTTTTAATTTGTGTGGGTATATAATAGGTGTATATATTTATGGTGTATATACTTATGTATATATCTTTTTTTTAATTGCATTTTAGGTTTTGGGGTACATGTGCAGATCATGCAAGATAGTTGCATAGGTACATACATGGCAGTGTGTTACATGAGGCCAACAAACATATGAAAAAATGCTCATCATCACCGGTCATTAGAGAGATGCAAATCAAAACCACATTGAGATACCATCTCATGCCAGTTAGAATGGTGATCATAGTAATTTCTAAAGTGAGATTGACTTTCTTTCCTCCATTCCAAAGTGCTCTCCACTATGAAATTTTTTCATCATTTTCACAACTGCTTTTCATTCATTCATCCAATACATGTTTGTTAACTGGTTTACACATAGCAGATGACAAAACAGAAATTTCTGATTTCATGGAGCTTACACTTTGTTGAAGTCAGCAGGTTGTCAATGAAGTAAAAGTGATTATGACATATTTCAGGTGACGATAATTCCGGTTGGCAACTGTAAAGCAATAAGAACATAGAAAGTGTACGCGTTTTGTTTTTCCGTTGTAAATCGGTTGGTAAATGAAGTTTTATTGAAATGATAACTTGAGAGGAAAGATCTGAAGAAGGCGAGGGAGCAGACAGCACGCAGATTATCTGGGAAACAAAGATCTATGCGTCAAAGAGAAAAAAGTGGGCTGGGTGTGGTGGCTCACCCCTGTCATCTCAGCACTTTGGGAGGCCGAGGCAGGTGGCTCATGAGGCCAGGAGTTCAAGACCAGCCTGGCTGAACCTGGTCTTCTGAAACCAGGTTCTCTAGTAAAAATACGAACATCAGCCAGGTGTGGTGGTGTGCACCTGCAATCCCAGCTCCTTGGGAGGCTGAGTCAGGGGAATTGCTTGAACCCAGAAGGCGGAACCAAAATTGCAGCACGTACTCCAGCCTGGGTGACAGAGTAAGACTCCATCTCAAAACAACAACAACAAAAAAAGTTTAAAAAAAACGTCTCATGCAGTTCGAATAGTAGCAAGTGACTCAGGAATTTATGAAGTTTCAGGTATGCAGGGCTTTATGAACTATCCCAGAGAGTTGAACAACTGTGGGAAGGTTGTGAGCAAAGGAATGACAGGGCCTGGAATGTTTTAAAAAGATCGCTCTAGCTTCTGTATTGAGAATAGACTGTAGGAAAGTAAGAAAGGAGACAGCAATAGTAGCTATTAAAACAAACAAAAGGTCATTCTAGCTTAGCACAGAATGGTGGCAGTGGAGGAAGAGAAAAGTTACAAAATTGTTCTTTTGGTAATAAAGAGGATGAAAATACCTTTGGCTTTAGACTAAGCTTCTCACCTTAAAGAAGAGACAGAATTGGGAGAATAATTTAATATTTGAAAAATGTTGGCATGCCCCTTATATCATCTAACTAGGGATGTTGAGAATATTTGAGCTTGGAGTTCAAGAGAGAGAGCTCAGGCAATAAAAGTCTAGCAGTTGTTGGCATATACATTAAAGCCATGAGATTGGATGAAATAATGCACAGAATAAGTACATATGGGGAAACAAGGGGTAGGCTTGGGAAATTCCAATGTTTAGTGAATACAGCTAAGGGATGAAAAAGCAAAGAAGACTCAGTTAACTATATATATAGGAAATATTAACTAAACTATGGTATTTGGAAATGCACATTAAGAAAGAATTTCTGAGAGGACAAAATTTCATGGTTTTAAATGCTGCTTACAAGTCAAATAAGATAAGGACTGGAAACATTTATGTGACTTGGCAAGGGGGAAATCATTGCAGGTCTTCTCAAGATAAGTTTTAATAAAGGGGCAAAAGTGATTAAAGTGATCATTTTTTCTTTAATGATCTAATACTCTAAAGAGAAAGTGTTAGATTGGAAACAGTGAGTCTAATCCACTTTTAATTGTTTTTCTAATTGACAGGTAAAATCTTATCTATTTATCTTGTACTAAGTAATGTTTTGAAGTATAGATACTCTATGGAATGATTAAGTTCAGCCAGTAAGCAAATGGATTACCTCACACAGTTATGAGTTTTTAGACTCCATCTCTCATTATATGCAAAAATCAATTCAAAATAAATTTAAAAACTTCAATTTAAATCTTAACAACCATGAAACTGCTAAATTTTTCAAAAAAGGAAAAGCTTCATGAACATTGGCCCATGCAATAATTTTTGTTTTGGATGTGACCTCAAAAGCACTGGCAACAAAAGCAAAAATAGACAAATGGGCTTATATTAAACTGAAAAGCTTCTGCACATCAAAGGAAATAATAAACAAAGTGAAGAGACATCCTACAGAAAGGGAGGAAATATTTCCAACTGCAACCCACTTATTTTAAGGAAGTTTTTTAGTGAACGGTAGCAGAGAAGCAGAAAAGTTTCTGAAAGGAGATGAGGGATCAAGAGAATTATTACATTTCTGAGACAGAGTCTTGCTCTGCTGCTCAGGCTGGAGTGCACTGGCATGATCATCATTCTCAAATGATCCTCTAGCCTTGGCCTCCCAGAGCCTTGGGATTATAAGTGTGATCCTCCACCCCTGGCCAAGAGAGCTCTTAATGTAAAAATTAACTAAATCATTATGTGATAACTTCCTGGTTAGTGAACATAATGATTTAGTTGGCTGAGAAAATTTGAGCATACATAGGATATTGCAGAGAAATTTGGAATTACAAACTTGGAAGAGTGGAGGGGAATAGTATGTAGTATACAAATTTAGTTGTAGGCAGTAGCAAAAAATGTATCTTGATTAACTGGATCTAAGGCAGAATTCATGGATGAGGAGCCGGGGAAGTGCAGATATGTCATGTTAGGAACCCATGGGTGTTCCCTTTGATTGCTACTATTTTCTTAGTGGAACAAGAAACAGATCACATGTGAGAATAGGTTGGGTGAGGAGGTGTTGGGTATTTGAATAGAAGAGGTAAAATACAAAACCATCATCCAGGAGACTGGAGAATAAATGGATTAGGAAATATAGAAGGTATGACATCAACTTTAGTAGCTTTTGGAAAATAAAAAGAAAAACTCTCTCAAATGTACCCTTCAAATGTGAAATTTTAGAATTACACTGTGAAGAAAAGGCTTGGAATCAGGTAAATAGGGCATTGCACACTCATCTTTCTTTCTTTTTCTCTCTCCTTCCTTTCCTCCCTCCCTCCCTCCTTCCTTCCTTCCTTTCCCCCTCCCCCCGTCTCTCACTCTTTCTTTCTCTTTCTTTCTTTTTCTTTTAATAAATCTCCTTGGCAACATGAAATGTTTAAGTATTTATATTTTTAAAAAATAGAAATTAGGAATATTGGCACTAAATATGCAACCTTCTATACAAATGAATGTTATCCTATAATATGAAATTTAATGTCAGTTGCTTTTCTAGTTTTATTTTATTTACCAATCGGGGTGTGAGAGAGTATGTATGTGTGTATGTGTGTGTGTGTGTGTGTGTGTGAGTGTGTGTGTAAGATAGAAAGACAGAGAAAAAACACATAAAGGACTGAGCAAGCACTGATAAGTGTGGTTGTAGCTTTGTTTTTGTTTTTCTTACATCTTGGGGGTATATTTTAAAGGGAAGACTCCAAGACTAATTATTCTCTATTTTAAAAATTTAGGATCTAATCCAGCACACAGTAATGCTATAAAGTAACCAAATGGGCATTCAAGCATAAAACCTTTCGAGTCTGTATTTTTATCAAAGTTACACATTCATATAATTTTCAGAGTTGAATAACGACGAGATTTTTAAATTTAAAATATTTTTGTGTATGTCTCACTTTCTCTCCCAATACATTTTATTAATTTTCTGGGGTTTTTGTTGTTGTTGTTGTTTTGTTTGTTTTTGAGATAGGGTCTCATTCTGTCAACCAGTCTGGAGTACAGTGACAATCACAGTTCACTACAACATTAACTTCCCCGGACTCAGGTGATCCTTCCACTTCAGCTTCCCAGATAGCTGGGACCACAGGTGTATGCCTCCTTGCCAGGCTAATTTTTTGTATTTTTAGTAGAGATGAGGTTTCACCATTTTTCCCAGGCTGGTCTCTAACTCCTGGGAAAGCAGTCCTCCCACCTTGGCCTCCAAAAGTTGGGATTACAGGTATGAATCAGTGTGCCCAGCTTCTTTTTCTGGATAAATTTTTAAAATAGCATGCTTATATAGAAATATCTTAATTTTCCAGTTTTAGTCAATGCCTAATAACTAATTTTTCAGATAAATAATAGGCTTCTTCACTATAGCTCTGCCGTACCTGCTGTACATGCATCTTTTTATGCTGGTCCCACACTTGCCAGAATTGTGCTTCTGAGAGGATGGTCAAAATACTTAATCACCCTGTTCAACTCTTGCTCTGAATAATCAGAGTGATATAGCCTGAAACAAGAGGTGGCTGTACCCATGCGAGCTAGTACATATCATCTTTGCTCTGTTTTACTTTGCTAAACAGTGTTCAGTGTTTGTATTAATCTGATTATGAACATGCTATTTTGTTGCACCATGTAGTAATCATTGATTGCTTTTTCTTTTCTGCACAATCACGAGTTTTGACTGGAACTAATTATTGTGTTGTGTTGTTACAGCTGTTGTATGTTTCTGGGTTTACTTTTCTATTGACTTCTTGTTATTTGAGGAGTAAATTTATTTTCACTTGTGAACAATCTCCTTTTAATTTGTTCAAACAAGTTAAATGCCCTATTTCCCCTTTTCTGAGAAGTATCTCCTAAATCCTTTGCATCAGCTCCGTTATTATTTCCCCTCTTGTCTTGCTGTAGAACACTGGGTGAAACTGACTTGCCCTTAGATTTTTGTCTTCCAGTGTTGACACTGGGATGATTGAACCCATGTTTATTTTTATTTTTCAGATGGAGTCTCGGTCTGTCACCCAGGCTGGAGTGAAATGGCATGATCTCGGCTCACTGCAACCTCTGCCTCCCTGGTTCAAGGGATTCTCCTGCCTCAGCCTCCCGAGTAGCTGGGTTTACAGGTAATTGTTGCCACTCCTGGCAAATTTTTGTATTTTTTTCAAAATATATATATTGTATTGCACTTTGGGTTCTGGGGTACATGTGAAGAACATGCAGGGTTGTTGCATAGGTACATACATGGCGATGTGGTTTGCTGCCTCCATCACCATCACCTATATCTGACATTTTCCCCCATGTTATCCTTCCCCAACTCCCTACCCCCCACTGTCCCTCCCTTAGTCCCCCCTCCAACAGACCCCAGTGTGTGATGCTCCCCTCCCTGTGTCCATGTGTTCTCATTGTTCAACACCCGCCTATGAGTGAGGACATGTGGTATTTGATTTTCTGTTCTTGTGTCAGTTTGCTGAGAACAATGGTTTTCAGGTTCATCCATGTCCCTACAAAGGACATGAACTCATCCTTTTTCATGGCTGCATAGTATTTCATGGTGTATATGTGCCTCATTTTCCCTGTCCAGTCTATCATGGTTGGGTATTTGGGTTGTTTCCAGGTCTTTGCTATTGTAAACAGTGCCGCAATGAACATACATGTGCATGTGTTTTTATAATACAATGATTTATAATCCTTTGGGTATATACCCAGTAATGGGATTACTGGGTCAAATGGAATTTCTATTGAATTTCCTTGAGGAAGCGCCACAAGATTTTGCATTTGTTGAGTGATTTACTTCCAATTATGTGGTCAGTTTTAGAGTAGGTGTGATGTGGTGCTGAGCAGAATGTATATTCTGTGGATTTGGGGTAGAGAGTTCTGTAAATGTCTATTAGATTTGCTTGGTCCAGATCTGAGTTCAAGTCCTGAATATCCTTGTTAATTTTCTGTCTCATTGATCTGTCTAATATTGACAGTGGAGTGTTAAAGTCTCTCACTATTAGTGTGTGGGAGTCTAAGTCTCTTTGTAGGTTGTTAAGAACTTGCTTTATGTATCTGGATACTCCTGTATTGGGTGTGTATGTTTATGATCGCTAGCTCTTCTTGTTGCATTGATCTTTTTACCATTATATAATGCCCTTCTTTGTCTCTTTTGATCTTTGTAGTTTAAAGTCTATTTTTTCAGAGACTAGGATTGCAACTCCTGCTTTTTTTAGTTTGTATTTCTATGGAATTGGTGGTGGTATCCCCTTTTTTGTTTTTTTTATTGCATCTATTGGATTAACTGCTGTCACTGCCAAGGTGGCCTGCCAGCCATCTCTTCCTCTGTGGGCACTCTATGGAGAGGTCTCTGGAGATTTCTTCTGATGAAAACCATTATTTCATGCTTTCCTCTGGCAAAAGTGTACTTCGGAGGATAATTTTAGGGAATAGTGTAATATAGAAACACAAAATTTTAAGACTGCTTGCACTCAAATGCTAGTTGGAAAGAATTCTTCACCCTAGCAGGTATGCATGCTGCATTGTAACACTACAGGATTGAAGGTGGGTATCTTAAGGATATAACTGAGGTAAGGGGCTTTGAGTTTGAGTGTGTTCAATTTTCTTGTCAAAGATAGTAATCTAAAATTTATTGATCAATTCTACCTTTATATTCTAATTTATTTCATCAATCTTTTCTTCTATATTATTACCGTCCAATATTCTATAGCACATTTTTCTCCTCTACCGCCCCTTTAAGGTTGAGCTGAATGTTTACTTCATTATTTGTCAGTTTTATTGTATGAGAAGGATCACAATGAAAAAATACTGTGAACTATTATAAGAATATTTGATATAGAGAGTGTATACTGCTTTTAATTGTGCTTACATGCAAAACAGAATATTGATGCAGTTACAGAAACAAAGGCATATCTCTTGTTTCCTCATGACAAGAAAAGCAGGGTAACAAATCAACCCAAAATATAATGTTTTTATTTATTGTCCTTAACAATGCTTGTGGCTGGTTGGGTGCCCCTTCTCACAGGGATACTTGAAGAAGCCAGCCATGTCATCTTCTAGATCAGCAGTCCCCAACCTTTTTGGTACCAGGAACTGGTTTTTTGGAAAATGGTTTTTCCACAGATGGAAGCAGAGATGGTATTGGAATGATTCAAGTGCATTACATTTATTGTGAACTTTATTTCTATTATTATTACATTGTAATATATAATAAAATAATTACACATCTCCCTATAATGTAGTATCAGTGGAACTCATGAGATTGTTTTCTTGCAACTAGATGGACGCACCTGGGAGTGATGGGAGACAGTGACAGATCATCAGGCATTAGACTCTCATAGGGGGTGTGCATGTGCAGGTCACAGTAGGGTTCATACTCCTGCGAGAATCTAATGCCACCAGTGATCTGACAGGAGGCAGAGCTCAGGCAGTAATGTGAATGATGCGGAGCGGCTGAAAATACAAATAAAGCTTTGCTCGCTTGCCTTCTGCTAATGTCCTGCTGTGTGGCCCCGTTCCTAACAGACCATAGACTGTTACTGCTCTGTGGTCCAGGGGTTGGGGACCGTGCTCTAGATGCTTGTGTGCCTGGACACATTTATCCTGTTGTTACTTTCCTAAGTAATTATCACATCAAAGACTTTGCATCCCTTTTTGCTGAGTCAGGTGTTGCTACCTGAGAGAGGATCCCTTAGATTATCCAGAACACAGCAAGATAGAAAGGAAGCCAAAACATACCAACAATCAAAGTGTGTATATGTGTCTGTGTGTATCCAATAAAACTTACATTTAGCATTTTCCCATGCCAATGAAACCAGCAATAAATGAAAGAAGCATTCAATTCAAGATAGTAAGGGAAGTGTATCTGTTCAAGGAAGGGAAAATTATGTGGATAAAACATAAATTGTAACATTAAAAGACAGACTATACAGATAGAATGGAAAAAGTCTTTATCATGATTTTTGCAACAAAGTTTAATTGAGCACATCGAAATTCATGACTACTCGACTGATTAACTCTGTTGGAAGTTGAGTCATCCTGCGTTTCCCAGATCCTGTGGTTTTCCTGTGCATGATGCGTGCCCCTCAAGGAATAGGGTATCTTGCAAAGGAATGTTTACTCATGGATAGTCTTTAAATCTTCCACATATACTAGTTGCTGAAACTAATCTCCTAGAAAGATTATTGCAGTTATGGCAGTTCTCCTCTCCCCTTCACAAACACTCTTTTTCCAACTTACAGAAGAAAGGCTTACCTCTCACAAATCATAAATGTTAGTAGAATGTAAAAACCTCTGGGATTCCAAACAAATGTATAGTTCAAGAACTGGTATCAGGAGAGCCTTATTGAATAAAGAAATGGCATTAATAAAAACTGTCTTATAAACATTCCTTTTAAAGGCCACTCACAGCATCAGAAACTGAACATTTTAGTCCGTTTGAATAATGTTCCGAGTTTACTCTGATTCTAGAACTGGGTGAAGTGAGTGATAATATTTTATTTAGTGAAATTGTCTCTTCTATTCTCCATTCATTGACATAGTTACTGGAAGACAAGTCCTGAGAGAACAAGCAAAGGAAACATGCAGAGGAACGCTGCAGCCAGCGGTGCTGGCGTTCATATAGACTCTCTACCAGGCATTGGAGTCACTTTCTACCTCAGATTTAGGGCATTCAGGAATTGTAAAAACGATGTTGAGAAATACCAGTCTGCCAAGAAGTTTTTCTCTCTGCAGCTCAGCAATGAGAAAAAGCTTGGAGAATGCATTCATTCAACCCATAATTAAGTCTGTGTTGCAACTGCATATTTTTCATGACTTAAAAGCAGGTAAAACTTCCAATAAGTCAGTGTTGCAATTTTGAAAAATAATGTATATGGGCTAGCAGTAAGTAATTGTTTCCAAGTTTCTAGAACAGTTAATCAAATGTGAAAATGAACACTTCCATTAACATTTACAAAAAGTATATTGAATAGTGGAAAATATTACCCATTGCTTTACTTGGATCTAAGCCTTCTGCTCACTCTCTTCCATTAGTTACTTGTCTTTTAGTTATTTAATTCCCATAATAAGTGCAGTGCTGTGGCCCGCATTCTAAATAAAGCACTTGTATGTTTATCTTTTGTAAACTTCATTTATTAGGAGCTCAACTTATTTTTTTCCTCATGGTTTTAATTCTCAGTGAAGACTTTCTAATTCTAGCAGTAAGTAATCAATCTTTACTCACATGGTAAATGAAGTAACTGAAAAGAATAAACATCTAACTGAGATGCAATCGGTAAAAATTTGCTTTTGCTTAATGACTTTTTAAAGTATAAAATACTTTTGTGTTTATTTTTTCAATTATATAATAATAAGTACAGAAAAGATTGGGCAAATATTTCTGTTCTTACTAGACAATTAGGACAGTTAGAACTGTATGGTCACAGGAGATGAATAAAATGCAATTCAAGTAATATATTTTCTTTTTACAGAGATACATGATGTAGTAGCAAACGTAGACAGAAAATGCAAGTTCAAAGTATAAAAAAAGTTACTTTGTAAATGTTAAAAATGACTGTTTACATATTTTTTAAATAGTTATAGATAAAAATTGTGATAATTATTTAGATTTTACTGGATTCATATAAAAGGGTAATGTAACATATTATCTAATGTTATATTTACTCTATAAATAACATAATCTGCAATGTTCAGTATTACAATGAGAGATTATAAACATTAATTTAAAATGTAAAACAAAAACCCCATCATTTTAAAAATTATTTTTGAGGGCATTGACCAAAAGATTTAAAAGTCATCACCCATTTAATTTACTATCCAAGTGAGATTTCAAGGACTTCTTATTTCCTTCTCACATGGACTTTACTCACTTCATTTACTTCCTCAGAACATTAACACATTCACATGTTACCACAACCTGATTCAGCAGTTTCTACTGCTTCCTATTTCACTGAAGACAAAGAAAGAAATCTGAAAAGACATTGCACAAGCACCTATGACCACATCAGCCTCTCTGCCACTCCTCCTGTTACGATTTGTAGCTGGGCACTGACCATGTGTATTCTCGATCACCATCTCCACCTTCCAGTTCACTCAGTTTGCTCCAGCACTTCCTTCTTGTCTCTTCTGCACCAGCAAATTTTCATTTCACACAATTGGTCACCCCTTCCTCTTTGAATTACTTTCTTCTAGTTGTTTTCATGATTCATATGTTTCTAGGTTTTCATCTGCTTACCAGCTCTTCTCTCTTTTCAGCTAGTTCCTTCTAAACTCTCAATAGCTAAATAATGGTTTATCAAAAATTTGACCCTTAGATTGCTTCACTTCTCAGTCTTCACCAAATCCATTGTGGACTCATCTAGTATAAAAGTTAAAAAAAAATACCATAAAACGTTAAGATATGAATCGATGTCTCCAGCCTGAACCTCCTCTATACTTTGCATTTATTTACACAACTTGTTATGCAATAGATATTCAAATAACTTGGAAGTCTAACACATACAACTTAACATGTCCCAGACTAAGTATACTAAATATTTTATCCTGCCCCAGATATTACTTATTTTTCCCTCAATATGAACTTCATCTTTTTAGGAACTCAAGCTAAAATACTTGGGGTCATCTTTGAGTTATTGCTTTTTGTTACAGTCCATATCCAAACCATTAGAATTTCTTAATGACTCTGCTTTAAAATACATTTAAATTTTAAATCTTTCCAACAACTTTTGCACTATGACCATACTCACTCACAGCTAGCAACCCAATTCAAGTAATACACAACTTTATTTTATTGTAATTTGTCCTGATTTATCTCCCTGTATCTTCCTTGCCTTCCTACAGTCTACTTTCGACAGAGTGACCAAAGCCACCCTTTCACAATATAAGTTGGCTTATGTTCTTCTGTTCTGGTACCTTTAATGATATTTTCAAATATTTGGAGTGAAATTCCTTAAGATAGCTAACAAGTATTGCAGGTACTCTAAAATCTAAGATAGAGTAATATTAAAATTGGAAGAATGAATTGAGCCAGGCGCAGTGGCTCATGCCTGTAATCCCAACACTTTGGAAGGCCAAAGTGGGTGGATCATCTGAGGTCAGGAGTTCAAGACCAGCCTGGTCAACATGGTGACACCCCATCTCTACTAAAAATACAAAATTTATCCAGGCGTGGTGGTGTGCACCTGTATTCCTACCTACTTAGGAGGCTGAGGCAGGAGAATCACTTGAACCCTGGAGGCAAAGGTTGCAGTGGCATGCCACTGCACTCCATCCTGGATGACGAGTAAAACTATGTCCCCAAAAAAGAAAAATGAACTGGACCCTGTTTCTTTTCTGACCTCCTGCAACTCTCACTCTTATTCTCTCTTGTGATTCTTCCTTGTTATTTCTCAATTGTGTCAAAATGTTGCTGTCTCGGGAATTTGAACTTACTATTCCTACTGCTCCTAGTTATTCCCATCTTCCAACCTTACTTCTTACTGGTCTGTGTTATTTGACTAAAAGCCAAAGTTTTATAACGGAGAGATCCTAAGTAGAATACATGAAATGAAATAGCCACTTATATCTGCCCATATACATTCTCTCAGTCTAGGCTCATGTAGTGACTGCGCTCCACCTGGTTTTCGATGGCTCCGTCTTCCTTCCATTTTAATTGTCTTCCTTCCCTTTGGACTCTGTTGCCATCTGCATGAATGGACATGAATAAAAACAAAAGTCTAGGTCAAAGGTGCTACCTTTAAAATAAATTAAAGTGAGATTTTCACAGATTGTTTCCACTTATATTTCATTTCTCATAGTTGCATAGTGTTACTGAGGGAATATATTCTCTTACTGGGTACACAAGGGGGCGTAGTTTTAAGGACAAGAACTTCCGAGTGCCATGCACCACCCCCAATCTCTCTCCATCCGGGAGATTTAATGGTTTATTTTAAAATTTCGTGGGTGCGGGAAGAAACGAAGAGTCAGTCACCCCAGTGGATGTTTAAAGGAACTCCTCTCATTGGCTAGAGGAACTTGGGAGGTAAGAATTTCTCCCAGGATGAATTCCCCTGCTCCTTCACCCACACTGGTTTCCAGCTCTCTGGAATCCCCTCCCACAGAGTGGGAGCTCTCTTTTCCCTCCTGGATTCTCCCCCTCTGGGGTCCCCTTCCACCCAGTGTGGAAGCTGCTTTTCCTCTCCTAAACTCCATCTCTCTCTCTCTCTCTCTCTCTCTCTCTCTCTCTCTCTCTCTCTCTCTCTCTCTCTCTCTCTCTCTCTCTCTCAATTCCCTTTCACTCAGTGTAGAAGCTGTCTTTCCTCTCCTGGATTCCATCTTTCTCGATTCCCTCACTCAGTGTGAGAGGAGATTTCCTTCTTTCGTTTTCCCCTCTAGGAAGCCTTCTCACTCAGTGTGAGAACAGCTTTTCTTTCTCTCACTCAGTGTGAGAGCTAGCTGTTTCTTCCTTTCTCCTCCTTTTTCTCTTTCTCTATCTAAGTAAATCACTTTCTGCAACCAGTTTTTGAGTCCCATATTTTACTTTACAAGCACACTGCACTGTGGTCTCCTGTCTCATTCTTGAGAGGGAGGGATAGACCAAGAACCTGGAGAAATGTCCTCTCAGGAAAGATGAGGGCTCCCCTGAACCCCAACATTACCAGGGTAGTTAGAAAAGGTAGCCTATAGTTGGACAACAATGTGTTCAGAAATGGGGAAAAAAATGAGTACAGGGAGTGTGGAAAAGCAGCAAAGGAGAAAGGACTTACAGAGTGCCTACATACATTGCTTATGAGTAACATATAAATGAGGAACAACAAACTGTGGAAGGCCGCAGGAGGCCTCTGAGGAGGAAGACCTCATGTTTCAGTGCAGGGTGATGTAGACTCTGTTACCATAAACATTTTGCTCAAGGATGTAAAATCCCTTTGTAGCACTATGACATAGCCAGACTTGTAGGCTCGTTGTAAGATCTGCATTCCATCAGTTGCACAGCACATAGATAATAAGCTAAAGATAACCACATGTTCTCGTTTTGTAAAACTCCCAAACCACCACTGTTATCATCCTTAGAATGACACACCAGTTCCAGTTCACTGATTCAGTTCCGGCTCACTGATTCACTCCATCACGTCACCCACTCCCCACCATTACTCCACTCCTGCCCTGTAGATCAAATTAATTGTAACCAATAAATAATGTGGATGATCAGAGTTCAGGGCCTTCATTGCCTCCTCCAGAGTAATAAGTGATCACCTCCTGGTCCCACTATCTCTCTTAATCTGTTTTTTTTTTTTTGTCATTCCTTTATTGTCACCAAACTCAGGATACCCACGGGCGTTGTAGGGATGGCTCCCTACATTCTGGTTCCCAATGTGGGGCTCATGGATTCCCTACAGGGAGCAGGTAACCAAGGACCTTCCTGCCACAGGATCTGGAATGCAATAGCACCATCTTGGCTCACCGCAACCTCCGCCTCCTGGGTTTAAGCAATTCTCATACATCAGCCTCCCAAGTAGCTGGGATTATAGGCATTCCCCATCATGCCTGGCTAATTTTTTTGTATTTTTAGTAGAGACTGGGTTTGTCCATGTTGATCAGGCTGGCCTTGAACTCCCAACCTCAGGTGATCTGTCCGCCTTGGCCTCCCACAGTGCTGAGATTACAGGCATGAGCCACTGTACCTGGCCAGGATATTCCATTTTTAAAAATAAACTTTATTGTATATATTTAAGATACAAAACATTATTTATACAATTCATATAAACAGTAAAATGGTTACTATACTGAAATAACTTAACATATTCATGATCCCACAGAGTTAACCATTTTCCCCAAGCAGGGTCACGATCAGCCATAATCTACTTATTTAGCAAAAATCATAAATATAATACAGAGATAATTTTTTAAGATATTGGGGTTTAATAGTTTTACAGATAATTCATATTTAATTCTATATTTGTTTTGATTTATACACTGATTTTAGAAACATTCTCATGCCAGGGTCTACATTTTTCTTTGTAACTAGACAACCATATAAATTAGCTAGAACTTGTAGACAGTTCAGTCTAACTGTACTTTTTTGGTAAAAAATGTAAAATGTACTTTGGGAGGTTTTCTAAATGACTAAATTATATTCTGTGAAATTATTAGACAATTGAGAACTGAACTTTCTTACTGTTTCACAGTTAAATTATTATATTACTCTATTCAATGTTAGGATCTAGTTTTTTAAACATTGCATGGCTTCTTAAAAAAAGAATCTATAAGAAGACAACTGCTCAATTGCAGGTTGTCTAGTAAATATCAGAATTTTGAAGAGACACTTATAAGGTCCATAGAAATTTGTATAATTCCTGCATTTGATTTATTTGCATCATGCTATTATCTCCTATAACTTCAAGTAACTTTATGAAGTGATTAACTTCCATTGTAATTTCAATTAGTATTGATTAATATTCATATTTGAAACTAAATTTTCTTCAAAGTTATTGTCCTAGTTTAAATGATTTTTATATTGGAATTAATTATGGTGTCTAACTGTTCGACACCAACAGTTATAAGGGGCTATGGAGTTTTCAAAATTCTAACCAGATATGCTTTGCCGCCCTA